TACGCATCTTGGTCTGGGTCCACAAGGTCCAGTAGAATGTCTTGCTCTTCGGACACAGAGAATTGAACCAAGTTCTGCCGTGTCGTCACACCTTGGCTACCCATTATCCTCGCCTCTCGGAACAGTTCGTGGAAAAGCTCCTCCTCATACAGTGTATCTCGCGCCTGCAGGATACGGCCTTCAATTGAATCTAGGTCCTGGGCGGCCGACCGGTATGGCTTGGAGCAGCCAGTGATGATGCCATGGTCCTTCACACGTACACGCACTGTCTTTGCTTTCGTCGGCACCAATCCTTTGTCTAGTATGAGTGTGCCATCTTCAGATCTTCGTAGAGCTGCGAGGCCTCGGTCGCGGAATATCGGGGTGGCTGGAGAGAAAGAAGTCAGCATCCATTTCAGCGTTACTTAGTTTGCCAGCTCACCTTCAAGGAACCCATATTGCACACCCAGGGTTTGTCCCTGACGGGGCAGCCTGCACAGTTTCCAGCCCTTGTCCTTGACAGCCAACACTTCTTGCCAATATCGCGTCTCGGAAGCGACTTCATTTTCCAGTCTAGAAGCGGACTTTAACAACTTATCAGCAGCAGCATTGAAGCTCTGCAGTCTCCATCCACGCGAGACGGTCTTTGTGTCTCTAACCACCGCTTCGGACTTTGGCGGAGGGCTGATGATTTCTGGATTGAGTGAACCGAGTGGTGCAACTTGCTTCAGATAAGTGGACATGGAGGTTTCGGCCTGTCGCGGTGTGTGCTTTGAGAGGAGCAGTGAAATAAAATCGAGAGCAAACATCGCTTCCATATGTGCCTGCCTGTAAGACTTCAGTACAGCCCGGTCGGTCATATCACCGTAATGGTTGCCTTACATCGCAAACTGAATGATCTCTGCTCGTCGTTTGTATAACTGATCCAAGCGCTCTGTTGTGTCCAGCTCGGCACCCGCTCCCTCACCCTCCTCCTCTTCAATTGTGTATTCCTTGCTCTTCTCCTCCTCGATCTTTGCGCGTAGGCTCTCCTCATTCACATCCCGGAACGATCCCCACTGAGCATTAATCTGGGCGATCTCAAGAGGCAACGGATCTGGACGGTCGCGCTTTTCGATTAGGGGGCGCAAGGGGAGGGTAAATTTATCAGCCATGGTGACGGTTACAGACGCGCCCTACGTCAACGAATTGTGAGCAGCGCTGAGGGATCTCTCGAGGTTGGAAATGAAAGATGGAGATAGTGACGCCGAGACACGTGACAGCCGGAGCTCAGACATTGCCTTCTCAACAGTTCACTGCGCAGTAATCAATCAATCATGATCCATGTGGTAATAGCAGATGATAATCAATGAAGCTCAATTACTGCTTACAATGCTAATTAGTCAAGTAAGAGTATCTAATCAAATGCCTTGTGTATAGTCTCGAGAGTCTCAACAAATTAGAGGGGTACATCGCCGCTGTATATATTTCACATCGAGCCCCGAAACAGACATGGGAAGACGCATCTGCACACTTTTCAGGGGGTGGACTAGCCGTCTTTACGAGACTGAGAAGGCTGTCATTAACTGTATTTTGTCCTTCTTATCGAAGTTAACTCTGTCAACTCAATTGAGGGTATTAGGATCGATACGACGGCGTTGCGAAGAGCAGTGCCTGAAATGACGTGCATCGAATCAACTTCAACTCTTTGTCCATCATCAATTGGTTGCCATGGCGTCACTGGCCAAGCACGTGAACTCCTAGCCCTGCCCTAAGTCTCTCCACGTGACTTCCATGACGCTAGGACGAAAGAGGGCCGGGTGACGTCGACGGTGGGTGCTGGAGTCTTGTGGTGACGCAGGGAGGAATCTTCTACTGGTAGCTCAGAACCTGCAGGATTCTCAAAAGAGGGGTCGTTGGCTGTTGATCCGCCATAAGTTTCTGCCATTGTCTTTCTTCATTGGAGATTGTTAGACAGTTTTCTCATCTCAAGCTCTCGGAGCTTATTGTCAGCTAACTGGTGAATCCATTGATCGGTCGTGTCTGTGACGTACCCTTTCCCACTCCCGCTTTCACTCACCGGAAATCTTCCACCCCACCGTCACAACAACTTATCTACAGTTTCAGTCTCAACGACAGCTGTCTCCCCTGGTGCTTCATTTTCCGGTCTAGCGATTGATCCCTGCAACACTCCTTTGTGGATCAGTTTACGGTCGTCAACAGGATGAGCTCAACACAAGCGCCCGTCGAGCCGCCCAGGAGACGCCGCATTGGTGTCCTCACCTCGGGTGGTGATGCCCCTGGTATGAACGGAGCCGTGCGGGCCGTCGTCCGTATGGCCATTTACTCCGACTGCGAAGCGTATGCCGTGTTCGAAGGTTATGAGGGTTTGGTCCATGGTGGTAATATGATTCGTCAGCTGCACTGGGAAGATGTGCGTGGCTGGCTCTCCAAGGGTGGTACACTGATCGGATCTGCTCGGAGCATGGCTTTCCGCGAACGCGCTGGACGCCTCAGGGCTGCTAAGAATATGGTGCTCCGCGGTATCGATGCCCTCGTTGTCTGCGGTGGTGACGGAAGTTTGACCGGCGCCGACGTCTTCCGTTCGGAATGGCCCGGTTTGCTGGAGGAGCTGGTCAAGAATGGTGAATTGACCGAGGAACAGATCAAGCCCTACAAGGTGTTGAACATTGTTGGTTTGGTTGGTTCTATTGACAACGACATGTCCGGCACTGACGCCACGATCGGCTGCTATTCCTCTCTTACGCGAATTTGCGATGCCGTCGACGACGTTTTCGATACCGCGTTTTCCCATCAGCGAGGTTTCGTTATTGAGGTTATGGGGCGACACTGCGGTTGGTTGGCTTTGATGTCCGCGATCAGCACGGGTGCGGACTGGTTGTTCATTCCGGAGATGCCTCCCCGTGACGGGTGGGAGGATGACATGTGCTCTATCATTACCAAGGTGAGTCGCGAAATATCTTTTTAGCCGTGATTGAGTTGACAGAATGTTCTCTGTAGAACCGCAAAGAACGTGGCAAGCGTCGTACTATCGTTATCGTGGCCGAAGGTGCCCAGGACCGCCATCTCAACAAGATTTCCAGTTCTACGGTCAAAGACATCCTCACTCAGCGACTCGGGCTGGATACCAGAGTTACTGTTTTGGGACACACTCAGAGAGGAGGAGCAGCATGCGCTTATGACCGCTGGCTGTCCACCTTGCAGGGTGTCGAAGCCGTCAGGGCTGTTCTGGATATGAAGCCGGACTCGCCATCGCCAGTCATTACCATTCGCGAGAACAAGATCATGCGGACACCACTGATGGACGCAGTGCGAGAAACCCAGCATGTAGCGAAGCTTATCCATGACAAGGACTTTGAGGCAGCGATGAGAATGCGGGATGCCGAATTCAAAGAATACCACTTTGCCTATCGCAACACTGCCACACCAGATCATCCCAAGATGATCCTCCCTGAAAACAAGGTGCGTTACTATCTCTCAATCAGCCGAGTTGGCTAACTCAAATTAGAGAATGAGAATTGCCATCATCCACGTCGGTGCCCCGGCCGGAGGTATGAACCAAGCCACCCGCGCCGCTGTCGGTTACTGCCTCACTCGTGGACATACCCCCCTCGCGATTCACAACGGTTTCCCCGGTCTGTGCCGTCACCACGATGACAAGCCCGTCAGCTCTGTTCGCGAAGTCAAGTGGCTGGAGTCCGATCACTGGGTCAACGAGGGTGGTTCGGATATTGGAACAAACCGTAGCCTGCCATCCGAGGATTTCGAGACCACCGCAATGTGCTTCGAGAAATACAAGTTTGACGCACTGTTCGTGGTGGGAGGTTTCGAAGCCTTTACAGCAGTCAGCCAGCTCCGTCAGGCCCGCGAGAAGTATCCCGTTTTCAAGGTCCCCATGGTTGTTTTGCCTGCCACGATTTCGAACAATGTGCCTGGAACCGAGTACTCACTGGGAAGCGACACCTGTCTCAACACTTTGATTGATTTCTGCGACGCCATCCGCCAGTCGGCCTCGTCTTCTCGTCGTCGTGTCTTCGTGATTGAGACACAGGGCGGTAAGTCGGGCTACATCGCCACCACCGCTGGCCTTGCCGTCGGCGCTACAGCCGTGTACATTCCCGAAGAGGGCATTGACATCAAGATGCTCTCGAACGACATTGACTTCCTGCGCGAGAACTTTGCCCGGGACAAGGGAGCCAACCGTGCCGGAAAGCTCATTTTGCGCAACGAAAGCGCCTCCAGCACTTATACCACACAAGTCATCGCCGACATCTTCAAGGAGGAGGCCAAGGGACGCTTCGAGTCCCGCTCGGCGGTCCCTGGCCACTTCCAGCAAGGAGGCAAGCCATCGCCGATGGACCGTATCCGGGCCCTTCGGATGGCGATCAAGTGTATGATACATCTCGAAAACTACGCAGACAAGTCCCGCGACGAGATTGCGGCGGACCCGTTGTCGGCGGCGGTCATCGGTGTCAAGGGCTCGCAGGTGTTGTTCTCCGCCATGGGCGGCGAGGACGGTCTGGAGGCGACGGAGACGGATTGGGCACGCCGGCGTCCCAAGACGGAGTTCTGGCTGGAGCTTCAGAACTATGTCAACATCCTGTCTGGCCGTGCTGCTGCGGGAAAGCCCATGTGGTCATGCTATGAGTGTAAGCTTTAACTACGATTGTATTTGCATCATATACTGACTGTCTACAGCCATTGAACCTTCGGCGCCCACATCACCTTAGAGCGACCGTGCAAGACGGGGAAAACGGAGGATACGATTGATGAGATGGGAAGCTGACCGCGACCCTTGAATGATATTTCGGAACATAGCTGATGCCTGGACTTTGGACATTGGGGTAGATTATGATTTTGCATCTGGAGTTGAGAATACACGATGGCTAGGTGGTCTGGGCAAATATATTGAATCTAGGATTTCTAGTCAACGAATGATGGTATCATACGCCATAATCCAGTAAACCGAAATTATAAACCGAAATATAAACCGAAATATAACCCGTAAGTGAAAAGATTAATCAATTACGATTCTTCTCCGCCTTCTGCAACTCCTCTAATTCATCGAGCAACTGCACCGTTTCCGAAGGACTGGCAATCCAGGCAGTCGTAGACGCCAAACGAGCCTAGACACCCAGTCACTTTCACGTTCGGTTCTAAAAATGCAGAGTAGAGGACGAGACTCACCTTGAAATCATTCGCACCGGCCGAGAGAAACTGATCGCCGACGTGGAGCGTGTGCGACCGCTCAATCCCCCCGAAATACCGCTGACAAGCGCGCACACCCCACGACTTGTCGCCAATGTCAACGAAGACATCATTTCCGCCTGTCATCAGCCATTAGCTACACGGCACATGGAAAAGGAGATAGGGGAGAGAAGGGGAAGCACCGTTAAATGCGCAAAAGGGCAATCTCGTGCCGACGACGGACCGCTCAACCGTATTCTGCACGACGAGAACGGTCTCCTCGAGCTGCTCGCGGTGGATCTTGCTCCGGTCGTGCGGGTAGACGCCGACGGCGCGGTCCTTGCGGAGAACAGCGACGGGGAGGTTGAGGTTGGAGGCGCACGCGCGCAGCGAGGACTCGGCGATATCGAGCAGCTGGGTGATATCCTCCTGCTTCCAGGACTTCATTTCGTCGAGGAGCCACTCCGGGCGGGGGACGTAGGTGAGGCGGTGCGGGGAGGTGGAGTCGAAGCGGAAGAGGAAGTTGCTTTCGCCGCCCATGACGACCAGGCCGTCTTTCTGGGCGGGGGTGAGGGTGGGGGAGTCGTGGACGGCGTCGAGCAGGCCCTTGAGGCGTTCGTAGTACTTTGCGCCCTCGGTGTAGCCTGCGGCGGTGACGATGCCGATGCGCACGCCCTGGTGCAGGAGGCGGATGATGCGCGGGATAGCGGGGTTGTCCGGGGTGAGGCAGGCGCCGTCATCGTAGAGGGTGACGTCTCCGTCGAAGGTGACGAGGTCGAGGCCGGGCCCGCGGACGAGGCCGAGGAGCTGGGCGGTGTTGAGGATGAGGCGGATGTCGTTGAAGGAGGGGGCGACGAAGCGGCGGCGGCTGATCATGCGCTTTTTGTCTTGGTATTTGAAGGCGTCTTCGATCGGCAGCCGGCTGAAGAAGGAGCCGGCGGTCGGGACGAGGAGTTTCAGTTTGGACTTGCCGGGGGCGGCGGTGCGTTCATGCTCGACTGGCTGGGTTAGATGGAAGCGAGAATAGGGAAAGAGGCTTACTGTGGTCGTCGATGAGCTTCTCGACATCCCGGAAGATCTCCGCGTAGCGTTGATGGGTGTCGGCCGCGACGGCCACGAGATTTTCGCTGTGTTCCTGGTAGACAGCGGTGGGCTGCGAGTGCAGCACAAAGGGGACCGCCAGGAGACCCTACTGGATGAGCTTCCTCCGGTGACTATAAAGCGGTGCACTCACTTTGATCCATTCAATCTAGAATATGTTAGTTTGCGCCTGAAAGGCACGTTGAAATGAAGGGAAAACTTACCAGCTGGTCTCGCCGATGCGACTATCGGAGTGAGTTAGCCAAGCACAACCTCAATGGCCGACAGCATACCTTGAGAGCATCTATCAATTGGTTAGGATTAGCAGTCTAATGAATTAAATTCAAAGAGGACATACATTCAACGCGATACCGAGTGGTCATTGTGAAGGGTGTTGTTGGACAGGGGTGTGGAGGGTGAGGAGGATGAGGAGTGCGGGATGGTTCCCCGCGCGGTGAGTTGGAGAAGTTGTGCCAAGCCAGGGGTGAGACACAGCCCGGTGAGGTTATCGGACGGTCGGACCCGACCGATGATTGATATGATTGGATTAGTGTGATTGTTTTGAGTGCTTATTGGTATCAAATCTTCCGTCTAGACCCAGCATCACAGTGACTCATTTTGCGCCATCACTTCTTGGCTCAAGAGTCGATCTTATCGCGAATAAGCCTCGCTGTGAGCAATTCAAAGTGGCTTAGACGGGCCAGCAGGGATTATGCGATCATGTCTAGACAGGGGAATCTGGAGTCATAGAAGCCTGCAAAAGCGTTACGCTTGTGAGCAAATCGGAGCACTCGTAACTCGTAGCCTGATCACCTTTTGGGATTGACACCTCGTATTAAGGCAAGACATGGGGGCCTGAGGCATATCGCAGCCTATCACCATCTATCACCATCAGCCTGATCGTCTGGGCAATAATTCTAAGCCACTCATCTTTCATTCTCGTGTCGAGTCATACTCGCACTCGCATATTATCCCAGTGGTGATGACGATGCTATCGATGCATGGAGTCATCTATCCAGTCGCCTGGTCATGGAAATATAAACGGCCCAAGTCATACACGGAAATGGCTATTCAACAGAATCAAACACACAAATCTCTGGCATCACCAGGGTGATAACGAAAATGAACGTGAATTTCCTCAGCGAAAACAACAATCCCTCTATATCGGATCCTCCACCCCCATATACACCCTCAGCTGCATCTCCCACAACGCCACAACCAGAACAAGAACCAGACACCAAACAACCACACCCACCCTCCTCCCCACCATCAGAACACACAAGTTCCACCCTCTCTCAAAACCGCGGGATCCAAATCCCCTCGAAACACGACTACTTCACCTCCGGCTTCGCATACCCTCCCTTCCTAGCCAACTACGACATCTCCCCTCACCACTGGACCCAGTTCACCCACGACCTCAACGAGGAGGTGAAACTCTCCCCGCGACAATGGGCCACGACGGTAGCCAAGGGCGTAGGCGTCCTCGCGCTGGGCGGGATGATGGCCGGCGTGCTTGGTGCGATTCCCGCCGTGCTGGTAGCGCGCAAGGCGAGGCGGAACCGCGAGGAGATGAATCTGATTATTGCTGCTTCCGAGCGGCCAGCGGATACAGATTCAGGGTTTGAGGGGGGATCAAGGCTGTCGAGGAAGGTTGAGAGGTGGAATGAGACGTTTTTCCGGCCACGGGGGATTATGGTGCGGGTTGATCTCCCCTGGGAGGAGCTGGACGAGATGCAGGGGATGGAGGTGCTTCCGACGTCGAGATACGGCTCGTCAAGGAGAGATGAGCAGGCTGTTAGGGAGGATGCGTCGCGAAAGGCGCGGATCGTGATTATTCCGGTAGATACAGATCCTTCAGGTTCAGGCTCAGCTTCAGCTTCAGCGTCAAATTCGTGAATTAATGCAAAGAATAAATTCATTAACATGCGTTCCACATCAATTTGGTTCAGATATATTTGACAGCTACTGCCTACACCCTCGACTTCTCCACCGTCTCCTGGTGCGCCGTAGTCCCGTGCATCTCCTCCGCCATCTCCATCTTCTCCGACATCACCTGGTCCCGCTCCTCGGCGTCCTTGTTTCCGTACAAGCCGATCTTGTACCACGGCAGCTCGAACAGGCGATCCATGCTCTCGAGCGACCGGCCCGCCGTCTCAGGCACACTGACCCACACCCACAGCCCACCGAGGATGGTCACCGCCGCAAAACACCAGAAGGTGCCCTTGGGGGTGATGCCGCCTTGGCTAGTGGGCAGCAGCATGTTCGGGACGGCGCGCGTGTTGCCGTACTGGTTGGCAAAGTGCAGCGTCATGGAGATGGAGGTCGCCAGGGCACGGATGCGCAGCGGGAACAGCTCCGCGGTGAGCAGGTACTGCATCGAGTTCCAGCCCAGGGCCCAGCCAAAGCCGGAGATGTAAATCATGGCGATGGCGCCGCGGCTGACGCCCTGCTTCGACTTCGGCAGGACGAAGTTCTTGGCGATGCCCAACTCCGGGACGTCGGTCAGGAAGGCGGCGACGTAGATCATGGCGATGGCCTGCAGGGTGATACCGATGAGTAGCGCGCGCTTGCGGCCGATCACGTCGACCAGGAACAGAGCGCACCCGACGGCTGCGACGAGCTTGACGATACCGAAGACACCGGTCACGAGGAGGGTCTCATTGGAGCCCGTGATGCCGAGCAGCTTGAAGAGATCCGGGGCGTAGAGGGTGATGGAGCCGGCTCCTGACCACTGCGAGAGGATCTGCGCCATGACAGTCAGGTAGACGCGGTACAGGTTCTTCGAGTCTAAAAAGGTCTCCTTGACGACGCCGAGCCAGCCTGCGCCCATGGTCGCCTCCAGTTCGGCCTGGTGGGACTGCTCGATGGCGGTGATCTCCTGCACGACGTACTCGTGGTCTTCAGGGAGGTGTCGCACGCGCGCCAGGTTGCGGATCGCCTGTTCGTATTTGCCCTGTTTGATCAGGAAGCGAGGAGACTCGTATTGCAGGAAGGAGAGGAGGAAGATCAGGCCGGCGAAGATGATGTGCAGACTGGTTGGCACTTCCTACGCGGTTGTCAGCTGCGATCGATTCTCAGGTAGTTGCCGGCGCACTCACCCATCGCTTGTGCGTGTTATCTCCGAGGTTCACCTGGCAGCCGTAGTTGGTGAAGTAGGCCAGGACGATTCCAAGATAGACGAAACCAGTAAAAACACAGGTGCAGAGACCTCGAATGGACGCCGGGGCCTAGCCATGACAGTTAGCTTGCATCAAGAACCGTAGGCGAAGGTATACTCACAATCTCGGCGAGATAGACCGGGCCGACCACGACTGTTTGCCCAATACCCAATCCTGCAACGAAGCGACCGGCATAGATGGCTCCAAGGTTTCCGTTTGCGCCCATGAAGATGCCAATACCAAGAATCCACAGAAGACACAGCTGACGAGTAGCCCAGATACGACCGATGCGGTCACAGACAAGGAACGCGCTGCTTGGGTTAGAAGGCCGGTCAACCAATACAAAAGCTGGAACTTACAAGAGAGCACCACCAACAGAACCGATCTGCACCATCGCCGACACATTCGCCTTGATGTTCGTCTGTTCGACCGCACTGTACTGGCTGTAGTGGATCGTCCGTTGGAAATCCTTTGAGTTGAAAGCGCCCGAGATCAAACCCTCATCGACACCCCGGGCAGCGCCCATGAGGCCGAATGAGAGAACTGCGAACCATAGCTTCCAGTTGAAAACCTCTTTTGGCTCGTTGAGGTTTTTCAACCGGAAGATGTTGACGGGTTTCTTTGGACCGCCTGCCATCGTCTCGTCCTTTGTGTTCAAAATATCAAGTAGGAGATATGCGGAGAAAGAGCTCAGGAGTGTGACGGGCAAACAGGGATGAACAGACGATCACTCCCCAGCTTTATACCCCATGCATGAGCACTGCGGAGAAAACGTGGAGTAGAAGCGTGGGGTCGAAATCTCCGAGATTAGGACCAAGAAACTAGCTTTAGTCGCATACCCGACACGAAGATATCCCGGCAAATGGGTGCATTTGTCCATGCGGCTGGGACACTGTCAGTGGCGGTTTGGATTCATTGGTTGAGAAACGGAGGCTGACCGACTGGCCCCCAAATGGGGTGGCCAAGAAAGCGTGGGTTGTACTCCGTACCTCTTCTCTGACCCACCTAAGGTTATCTCAAGTCTAGAGTCGAGAGCTTGAGAGCTCTTGACTGCGCCAAAAGTCTTGCTCCCACTCTTAGCATGAAGTCTCTATATACTGTGTCTTGTATGTTGTGAGTGCTATTCAAGAGACGAGATGTACTCAGTAACTCACACATTCATCATGTTCATTCTCCTTTCTCAGTCACTTCAAGAAATAATTCAACGAACAAGTCCACGTCCGCGTCTGTTGGCCTCATCCCCACATAATGAAGGCTCGGTCAAGTTCCGAAAACAGAAAACACGACCGACAAGCTTGGCGCTGAGAAATGCCTCACAGGATCGGGGGCGTTTTAACTCTAGATTCACTCTAGACAAGGACTCGACTCGAAGTTCCGTTTCTCGGAAGTTCTTTAAACGGTTTGATTCGCCAGTCGCACAAGTACATGGCAAACAATTGACAGCATCACCGGCACTTCGGGCAACCTAGGAATGCGTTCGCTCGGCACTCAAATCAGGCTCTCCCACCAGCAGTAACCCCGCTGTACGGAGTCAGTGCACACTCGCTATCTTACTACACAGAATGGCCTGCGAGAAAGGGCTATCCGGTCCTTGTCCGAAGCGACAAAGATCGTCAATGGCCGTGCGACTAGCGTGTCGAACTTGAACCAGCGATTCCCCCGACGATTCGTAAGAAAGTGTGGTTCGGCGTGTGCCTAGCCTGATTGGACCGTCGGTAACTCGGTGTGTCCGAGGATTAGCCAAGCGATTGTGAGTCGCTGAGATTATTACTGGATGGTGCCTGCGCACAAGCTGGGGTCTGGGGTGGAAGGTCTCCACTCTGGAGTGTCTCACTGCGGGGATGCAATGGGTCGACTCTGATTGGTTTATGCCGCTCACCACATGGACAGGATGGCAATGGAACCCATGGGAATTTGGTAGTATTGCTGTGGATGAGTAAGGGATACAATAGATCTTACATAAATAGTCATATTGATAATTCCTATATATCATTACTATCTCATAACACAGCAACTAAGTCATTTTCAGTTGTCAGTTGAGGCACTCGTTGAGCGCAGAAAGGTCACGAGACACGACATAAGCACAGACCTCCGATTAGTCACGCCAGCGGAAAGCAGGGTTGCGCCAGTCGAGATCCTGGATCTGCAACAGCGACAGGCCAGCCAGAGCCTGATCAACGTCTACCTTCTCGCGCCTCTTGTTATCCCACCGCATCCACGCCCAG